TGGTGCATAAACTTGGATTATTGTGATGTTGAAAGGTCTGCCTTGGATTCATATTGACATTATTCTAGCATTTTTGAGATTGTATCCCATTACAGCTTTTCCCACTCTTTTGTTGACTATGAGGGCTACTCCATTTTTTCTACAGAATTCTTGCCCACTGAATTGAATTAGCCCATTCCTGTCCATTTTAGTTCACTGACACCCGGGATGTCAATGTTTATTCTTGCCATCTCCTGTTTGACCACCTCCAGCTTCCCAAGGTTCATAGATCTTACATTTCAGGTTCCTATGCAGTATTTTTCTTTGCAGCATCGGACTTTCCTTTCACTTCCACACACGTCCACAGCTGAGCGTCCTTTCGACTTTGGCCCAACCACTTCATTAGCTCTGGAGGTACTTGTACTTGTCCTCTGCTTTTCCTCAGTAGCATGTTGGACGTCTTCCGACCTGAGGGGCTCATCTTCCAGCATCATATCCATGGGGCTTTCTTGGCAAAGATACTGGAGTGGCTTACCAGTTCCTACTCCAGGTGGATCGCGTTTAGTCAGAACTCTCCACTATGACCTGTCTGTCTTGGGTGTCCCTGCACGGCATAGCCCATAGCTTCTCTGAGTTACTCAAGCCCCTTCACCATGACAAGGCAGCAATCTGTGAAGGGAGGCATCTGGCACAGATGCCTTTAAAAAGTGGCTGGACAGATTCCTAGAAGAAAAGTCCATTGCAGGTTACAAGCCACGATGGGGATGTATAATCTCCAGGCTTAAAAGGAAGGCACCTCAAAATGCCAGATGCAGGGGAGGGGTATCAGGAGACAGGTATCTTGTTGTCTCGTGTGCTCCCAGAGACATCTGGTGGGGCCACTGTGAGATACAGGAAGCTGAACTAGATGGCCCCCTGGCCTGATCCAGCAGGGCTCTTCTTACGTTCTTATGTCCTCTACTTATTTTATGTTCTTAAATATGTTGTCACTGAAATTTTAACACTGCACAACTGTGCACAAACCTGGGAGTATTCCTCGCTGAGCCCCAGTGTGGATTTGCTTCTGAATAAATATAATCAGGCTGCATATTTCTCCTTCATATTTAGGCAAATTTTGCAGCAAATCGGAATGAAATTTGTCTTTGCAAAATTCTACCATATAATGTTACACATGGTTTTTCACAAACTAAAAAAGACTGTTTCAGTCAGTATCTTTAATGCTGCTCTTGTCAGGAACATCTCCAAAATATATGCAGTACATGAATGCATTTCTTTCCAGGATCTGGGGGGACTTGTGTTTGATTGACTTCAGGCAGCCATTCATATTTGATCAAACTTAAAAAATGAATTTACTCCAACATTCTGAACATTCATATGAAATCTTTTTTCCAGGTTTCATATTCAGGTTCTGATTTGTCTGGATACTGATACCATACATGAAAATGTAGAAATTAACAACATTAAAACAGAAGGACATTAGAAGGGCTGACCAGATGGTTATGAGTAAAATAATCACAGTCTGCTGTTGCTCCTGACAATGAAAGTTCTGAAAACTATGTATTATTTCCCACATTCAAGATGGTCCCATCATTGTTTCTTTTTCTTTTTGTAAGTGATTGTTTTTATTCACTAATCCCTACATAATTATAAAGATACTGAAACCACAAATTGCTGTGAGCTGAAAGTGTAAACATCCAGATGACTCATGACATTTGCAGACATTTATTTCAATATAATGGTAACTGGTTAGATTGCTGACATAATGTGTGAAAGAAGAACTGTTTTCTTTGGGTTTTGTCTATATATTTGTTACGTTCTGGAATACGGGGATTTTTTTATGTCATTTCTATCCCATTTTTCTCCCTATTAAGAGAGATAAACCTTTTTTAAAGTAATGAAAAATTGTTGAGGGGGGGGGGAATCCACAGCTGAGCAATCACATTTACTAGAAGCAGCACAAAGCACCACTAATGCTCCTAATAAAAGTATTGACCAATTGTTTCTCTCTCTTCAAGGAGAGAAACCATTTTTGTTTTTTTTCTTTAATGCGTACCAGGTATAGGAACTCCCTGAAACTTTTTCTAAACATACTTCATTAAGTTTAGAGTCAATAGATGTGAGTTACATTATTATTTTTTCTATATTACTCATTGGTAACTATCCAGACTGTTTAAGGAGCAATATTAAGGATAATGGATGAGCTTATAGCATGACTGAGCTGTATCTGAAAACAAGCAATGGATAATCCTTTCTGTTGAATGCTTAACAGAATGGGACTTACGGTATTAAGAGAAACTGTCCCCCCCTTTTTTCCCCCTGAATGTATAAACAATGCAAAGCCAGAAATACTCTCTAAGTGCTTCCCGATAGCTTTTTAAATACACGGACAAATTCTGTTTTACAAAGTGAGTGTGTAGCTGTGTCTGTTTGTACAGTTTGTTGTAGAGGTTGACATCCACCCCAAAACTCTGATGTGTGGTGATAGTTATATTAAATAGGGTCCCAGTGTAGTGTAGTCGTGGATATAGGCATCCTTCAGTGTCGTTTCCGCATTGATTTCAAAGTCTTAATGATGACGTATAAAGCCCTAAATGGTTTGGGACCTCAATACCTGGCAGATCGCCTTCTCCCACCCAGGTCTACTCGAATCACCCGACAAAGCCAGCAGGGACGGCTGAGGGGCCTTACGCCAAGAGAGGCCCGGAAGGAAAGAACAAGAAACC